CCCCCCCCCCCCCCCCAAAAAAAAAAAAAAATTGACTTAGAGTTACCAAACAATAAGAGGTTTTGATTCACATAAAATCACACAAATTAACATCTTCAAATGTCATGCGCAATCGGCGAAAGCCCTTATCGCAAAGGAAGCCATTGTTTTCGCTCGACAACTAGAATGCGATAATATTGTTTTGAAAGATAACTCAATTAATGTGATGAAGTTGATTTTAGACACATGTAATGATTTCAACCTTCTGGATTCGATTCTAATAGATATTAGGATTATTTCCCACGACTTTAAGGTGTTTAGCTACTATAAGACGTTCTAATTACCAGGTAGCACATAACTTAGTTAGAAAGGCGGTTTCTATCATATCTTTTGATGTTTAAACATAGAAGTGGCATACCCATTCAGGGAATCTAATTCTGGAAGTTTGATTTTATAGAGCCAAGGAAACATTATCATTAAGATTCAATAGGGGTCTCCAATTTATATGTAATTAATAGAGGTCGTATATTGCCCTGAAATCAAACTAAGATGCATACTCACTAAGTTGGTTCACCCACTGAACACCTTTGAATCTAGGGCTATCACATTTTGATCAGAAAATCCACTGTTATGTAGCAAGGATTTTTAAATACCTTCCAATATATGATTTCTTAATTGTTGTTAGACGATAAATCAACCGTTAAGTATGAATTAAAATGAAGCATTATCCTCTATATCAACAAGGATAGGAAGTATTATTCTTGAATAAACCAAATTGACACTATATCTAGAGTTGGATGATGAAATTAACCAAAAAAATTAAGGACCAAAGTAAATATCAAATAAAAATTCAAGAGTTAGAATACAATAAACCTATATAGAAAGAGAGAATTCACTTAAGAACAATGTTATTTGAATTTAATTTGTTAGTTTAATCATTCACGGTCATTGGATTGATAGTGGATCTCAATATTCTTTTATTAACAAATTATGTCAATAAATTAACTGCAATCAGTATTATTATTCATAAAAACCCTAATACACTTTTTTCCTGCCAACTCAAGTAGAATCTAATGTACCCAAATGGGTTCACCTTCAATACATATACTGTTGCTGAATCAATTTCGATAAAAATTAAAACAAAAATATTTGGGAGGGATCCAAATGAGAGAGAGGTGAGCCAAATATAGGTTACTACAGTTAAAAAGTAGTTGGAAATAACTCTCTGGCCATGGATTTCGCAACAAAGTTCAGGGCTTATTTGACATAAGAATAATAATTTGAGAGTCATGTATATAGTTTATTCTAACTCATTTGTGTTACGTGAGTGGCACACTTCGTTATTTTCTGTTAAAAAATTTAATGGAGTCAAATAAAATATCTCAATTAACATAATTAAAGAGTTTAGTGACTCAATTGACACAAAAAAAAAGTTTATAAACTTAATTGACATAAGGATCATAATTTAATGGTCATATCTATATCTATGGTTTACTCTCTCTATATATATATATTTATCTGCAAGGCCAGCCCATAGAAAAACAAGGAGCAAGAAACGGGCCCTTTACAATACTTGATGCATAACCCTACGTAAATCACGTTAGATCACACAACACACCACCCCATAAGTCCCACACCCAAAACGCACCACCCCCTCTCCTTTCTTCTCATCCCCATAGCTCTCTCACCATCAAACCAAACCTTCCTCTCTCTCCCTCCTTTAACAGGAAGGGCAGATAAATAATTCAAATACAAAACCACCTTCTCTCAGCCTTTTCCAATCTTCTCAATCCATTTCTCTTTCTTGTTCATCAGTAAATGGCTCTTCGCCTTGGGCTAGTCCTGGTTCTCTTCCTCCTGGCCTTGGCCATGGCGGCGGAGTCATCATCCTCACCGTTACATTGGGGTGTCACCACCACCACCACCCATTTTTCCAGTCCATCGCGCGGTGACGGACTTATTGGGGACTTCATTGACGTGGAGGAGGAGACGATGATGGAGTCGGAGTCAGCCCGACGAGTCCTCGCCTCAGGTAGGTACATCAGCTATGGTGCAATGCAGAGGAATAATGTCCCATGTAACCGCCGTGGAAACTCTTACTATAACTGCAATTCACGTGGAAGGGCTAACCCTTACCGGCGGGGCTGCAATGTCATCACCAAGTGCGGTAGGCGTACCTGATCTTATAGAGAGAGTGCATGCATGGCTGCTTCAAGAGAGAGAAAGATAAAGGAAGGATTCTCTAAGCCTGTTTGGTAATAATAATTAATAAGATTTAGCATAAATAAGAAATTTGGGGTGGCTATCATTGGATTTGGATCTTGGTGACTGTAATATGGTTATTTATTGTTTGATTCGGGTGAATGAGATAAGATTTATCAGTTATTATTATTCCTTTGGGAATGTTTTGTTCTTCAATCTTCGTGTTCTTCTTCTAATGCATTTTTGTTTCTTTCATCGGTTTCTTGTTTTATTTTTTATAATTAAAGATGGTAAATGAACAACTTGGTTGGTTATGAGTTGTTTTATGATGGGTTGAGTGTAAAACAAATTTAATCTCTTTTTACACCTTTTGATAAACGAGTTATAATTGGTTAAGTTATAATGGGTTATGTTAAAATCATTAATCAATAAAATAATTAAAACTCTTAACATGATTATATACTGATATTTTAAAAATACAAACGCTACTACACTAAAACTGCGTACACATATACTAACACAAAAAAATACAAACACATTTATTTTATTATTTGAGTCATGGATTATGGGTCATGAGGCAGATCATGGGTCGGGTTGTGTTTATTAGTGTACTTTTGATGTATTAGTATGTGTATATGTGTATATTTTTTGGTATATTAATATATTTATTTAATTTGATTACTTGCATTATTTAATAGAAAGGTAAATATCTAATTCAAATAAATCCTATTACCCAATTTATTTAAAATTCATATTAATTAATATATATATATCTAATTCATTTATTTATAGAAGGTTTAAATGGATTAATGGGTAATGGGCCGATTAAGACTGTCACTTCTAATTATAATTAATGATGATGAGATTCTAACAATAATACCGACTCTTTAGTAACCCCATTGCCCCCCACATTTGGCTTTAGGCTAAAGCCTGTACTTTCAATTTTTTATCTCGACGTTTATTTTGGGTGGGTTAATTTCAACTCGACTTTCCTTATTAAAAAACTTATAGACTGGTGTAAAAGATCTTTCTTAGGCAGATATGAGATGCTAACATTAACCTTTTTTTTTTTATTGGTTAAATACCAGTCTTGGGTTTGAGTTGTTTTCGGTCAATTGATTGTTAGCAGCTATTGAACAATTCAATGCTCGAGACTCTCCAATTACTATAGGCAAGAAATGGTCAAGGATCTTTGTTACAAGATAATAAGAGTTCAGTTGAGAAGCATGCAAAATATTCTTCATTAGAAGCAACTTTAACACCTTGTAAACTTGTATAACAATCATCATTTCTTCTCACTATCAGTTGCATACATGATACTATTTTTTTTTTGAAGAAGCATACATGGGAAAATTGTACTCTCTCCCTCTATATATATGTGGGTTCTTTTGCTCCGAAATCATTAGTAGGGATCCAATTTGATATTCCAATTAACAGGGTCGAAAATTTCGTATATCGCATAGAACCGTTGTTAATCTTACATTATTTACCGGCCTTTTAAGTGCTATTCTTGGATCAGAGAGCCTAGGAAATTTGTTAAAATTCCAAATGGGCCACCAACTCCACATTGATGTGGTTGCATCTTTCAACTTTTACCAAAGGAAACAATAATAATTTTTTTTTAAAAAAAATGAACTAATTAGGACCCAATCTTCATATATATATTTTCCTTTAGTATTCATGTGTTGGAATACTTCGCCTATCTGTTTGGAGCTGACTTGAAATTTCAATTTTTTTTAATTTTAGAGAAAAAAAAGTTTGATCCGTTTAGATCCTAGTTATTGGGAGTCTTTTCCATCAAATTTTTATGCAAAAGAAGCTTTTATAAGTTTATCAACGTCAAAGAAAAGTTGAAAAATTAGGTTTATTTAAGAGTTTTCAAGGAAAAGCCAATTTTTTTCGGAAATATTTTAAACAATTTCAAGAGTTTTTTTAAATCTAATTTTTTTATTTTACTTTTCAAACCTCTATTTTGTACCCAAAAAATTTAGTTTAAACGGGTCCATTATCACTAAATTTTTGCATCATCCATAGTACCTCTCGATTCAAACGGCAAATACAAGTTTTCTGAATTCACAAATTTTTTTTTTGGAAGGATACCTATTGCAGCCGAAAGTTATTCTTGATTTGGGGAATAACCAAGATAAAGACATGTATTATCAATTATACTTAAATGGAAAAACATAATACTAAAAATCTAATAGTAGCAATAATTCTTTATCTTAAGACACCATGCAATATTAAAAAATTAATATTGAATGTGTAATATTTATATTTTAAATAGTAATTTATTTTTTTTACTCTAATTATGTAATTTAAATTAAATTAATCAGAATGAAAGTAAGAGAAACATAGAAGGGAGAGAGAGGTATGCATGAATTAATGAGATTGTTTAAAATTGAGGAGTTTATAAGTTAAATTGTCTAACATTGGGGTTGTGTACAAAAAATTATATTTTTGAGCAAAAAAAAAAATTTTGAGATAAATTTTGTACCATTAAATCAAAGTAGATGAAAATTAGACAAATTTTAACTATTGTTTCTACTTTTATAAAAATAATTAAAATAAAAAAAAGGGGGAGATGCTACTAGTAGGTAGTAATTTTCTAGGCGTGGTCACGAGGGTTTTCCATTGTGAAATATCTGGTTTGAGTCATAGCCAGAAGGGCTATCCGTCATCACGGCACCACCAAAGTTAGGCAACAAACTGCGTTACTCACGTAAATCGAACCCTATTTGATGAGAGTTAGGGACGATTTTAAACGAATACAACTTACCACTAGATCACCAATTCAGATAACCTACCTTTATAAGTTGAGAATTCAACTATATACCTATAAATATTTAGTAAAAATGATTTATGCATCTTCACACACTTGTAATTAGGCGCAATTAAATTTGGAGAAGTTTTGTAAATCCATATATATATATAATAAAACATATAAGAATTTCCCCCCAAAATCATAACATCACTCATATCTATTACATTTTCAATCATTTAAAATTTGATTAATTTATAATTTAACATAATTTTTGTTTAAGATATCATTCACACACGATAATATATGTGTGTGTGTGTGTGTGTGTGTGTGTGGAGAAAATTTTATCAAAATACGTATTTTAAGAAACTTTTGTCAATATTTTTAAGAAAATAATTGGTAATAATAATTTTTGAATGATATAATCAAATAAATGAAGGAAAGAAAAATTATTATTTAATATAGTAAGATCAATTTTTTGAGGCTTGAATTTTACATTGCACGTGAAAATTTTTATTTAAACATTTGATAAAATACATAAAATTTTTTTAATTATGTAGCTACATTAGATATTATCTTATATTTCTTATACTTAAATTGTTTGTATTCTCCTCATAATTATAAACATCCAATGAACTCATTTTTTATGATTATTTCATTCGAGTTACCAAATAGTAAGGTTTATAAAAAAAAATTCTCGATTTTTTTTGTTTGTCTTTCTTGTTTTTCACTTTGTGCATCAATAATTTTTTATTAAATTATTTTGATTATGAATGAAAAAATAAGATTAATATATTCCTTATTGGGCATTGAAGATGATATTGTATCAATGTGGTTGTCAACATGTATTAATATTGGAAAAAAAAAATATTATTTTTATATATTATGCTAAGTATAACATGAACATTCAAAAGTTTTAGAAAGATAGAGAGATTTATGTGATATGTTAAAGATTAGTTTGTTGTTTAATACAAAGGGATATTATGGTAATTTGTATACAAAAAGACATATTAGCCTTTATAGTTTTTTATATAGGCAAAATAATTAATTAAAAAATTTTCATATTAAGATACTTTTATTAGTAATATAGATTATAAAATATAAAACATGACAGACTTCAATAAGTTTATACACGACAGTCTTAAGTAAACTTATTCAACGACCACTAACAACCCTCTCAAAATTGTTCATATTGCACCGTACCTTTAGGCACCGGCTACCCCTAATATATATGAAAATTGTTATCTAAATTTTTTTAAAAAAATAATAATATATGAAAATTCTTAAAAAAAATAGTTCCCATCGGCTGCGTTTAGCCAAGGCAATCTTGGACAAAAGGAAAAAACAAAAGGCACACATTAAAAACCATTAATTACAACATAGCTTGGACCTGGACCAAACATAATAATACAAAAACAACAACCGCTCAATTAAATATAGAATAAATTACACTTAGACCTCAATATTATACCCCCCTCATTTTATATTACCTCTTAAATTATGTTTTTGTTCACCTTACATTTTGAGTTATTGGTGTGAGCATCAGATTACTTGAGTCAATAATATTTGCCTAATTTTTCACTACAAGTCAAGTAGTAAAAAATAGAATTTTACGAGACTAAATATAATTATTCAAAACGTGCCCCTCAATACTGACGTCCGAACTATTTATCTTGTATATGATGAGTTGAATTGATTAATCAAAACTTTCTGTGATTAATCAAAACTTTCCGTGACCTATTTTTCAACTTTATGGGAGTAGCTGTATGGGCAAGAAGATGGAACTGTGGACTAAAAGCCAAGAGGAGGGGAGAAAGTGGAAGCTAATAATTAGAAAGACTATTTTTTAAATATATTCTAGAATTCTATTTTTTGCTCTAATTTGCCACGAAAAATTAGTCCGACATGGATGTTTGGGGCAATATCAAAATAAAACTTGCTGAAAAAAATTATCAAAATAAAACTGATAATTTAAGGTGTAATCTGAAAAAAGTGAAAGGTTTGAGATAATGTGAAACAAGATGCATAGTCTAGGGGTGCAAAGTGTAATGTTCCACTCATACCTAAAACCAGAGAATCGTCAACCCTGCCCAGCTTAGGCCTCCGTGTCCTCTGAGATTTCTCTCTAGAACAATACTTGAGAGGGAGAGAAAAGGTGACGACCAGAATTTTAATATTTTAATATCGTTTAATTAAATATTTTATTTTATTACTTAATTTAATTTAAAAAATATTTTCTTTAATTTTGCTAATTTAGTTTAATTTAATTTTTTTTTTGGATTTTAATTTTTACTATATATACGTAGATGCATGTAAGCTTTTAATTTTTGAGTAATATAATTGGCAAAGTTTATCTCTCATTTTTAATTATTCTGGTATTTTTTATGAATAAAAAATTTTAAATCAATATTTATAAACAAATTAACAGTGTAGTTCGATTCTTGTTCGTCACACCTTTTTCTACTCGCTTCCTGCATCACAACAGCAATGGCTGCAGCTTCTTCAGGTGCGCCAAAAGCTATGCAGGGAGCGACGAATACGGAAGTCACATCACAGGCATATCTGGAAAGCAATAAAGTCGAAGAAACAAAGGCTTTGATCTCAGAGCTATGCCGTCAATTCTATGACCTGGGGTGGGTCTCCGGTACAGGTGGTAGCATCACCATCAAGGTTCACGATGACTCTATCCCTAAACCCCAACAGCTCATCATCATGTCCCCTTCTGGTATCTACATGAACTATCATAGGCTTGATGGGTTATATATATATATATATATATATATATATATATAATTTTATTTTATTTTTGTTATTGGTGAAAATTTGTGGAATTGTGTATATGGGTAGGTGTGCAAAAGGAAAGAATGGTGCCAGAGGATATGTATGTGCTATCTCCGAGTGGATCTATATTGTCTTCCCCACTGGCCAAGCCGTACCCGCATAAGCCTCCCAAGTGTTCTGATTGTGCTCCTCTGTTCATGAAGGTATAATTTATTATGTTAAAAATGGGCCCGACAGTCTGATCTTGCCTTTGGAAAGAAGGGTTAAAGGTTAATGTTTTCGGATGCGATTCATTTATACTGCAGTTGAGCTCAATTGCTTAAGATATCTGTTATCAATCTGAATATTATAGTTTATTTGTCTCTCAATATTGTTTATTGATCTAGAAAAAATAAGGGTTTGGGGTTTAGGTGTTACTGTGTATTTTTTCAATATCACCTCGATGCTGGTTTTGTTTTTGTAGTTGATGTTGAGCTCATACATAGTGTTTGATTCTAAGTTGACTGGTTTTAGATTTTGTGCCGAAGGAAAAAGTTGGTCATGCAGTTCTTTCTCACTATAAGTATTAGTAAGTTTTAAATCATATGGACTCATGGTATTGTGGTGTCTCTTTGGAGTTGCCTTAATTTATAGGATTCCTATAGGTTAGAGCTGTCTTTGCACTAACAATTGCATGTTGGTTGTTTTAGTATTAAGTAGACAGCTGTAGAATAGTAATGGTTTGGGTAGCAGAATGGAAATAAACTTGTTCTCCCTTTGTTTGATTTGGGAAAGTATCACAAGTACTTCTATGCCATGTATGTTTCTTGTATTTATAGTTTAGAATTTTATAGGTTTATAGGCGTAATAGTACATTGCAATTTAACCTTATGCTACAGTGCTAGCATTATCAAACGCTCAAATACTGCAATCAATGTTTGTATGATATCCTCTTCCGGTTTATGAAGGCCTAATTTGTGTGGGATATAGTTATGACATTTTATGGCGATGAAAATCAATGGTGAATTTATGATCGAGTAATTTCTTTTATTTTGGCATTGACAATAGGCATTTTTATTTTTGTTATCTAGGCATATGAGATTCATAATGCTGGTGCTGTTATCCACAGTCATGGGATGGAAGCTTGTCTTGTAACAATGCTCAATCCATTATCAAAAGAATTTCGGGTTTGTGAACTTCTACTTTTATAAATGAGGATAGATGTTCAACTCTGTCTTCTCTAATCTATTTTTTTTGTAGTTTTCCAAATGTTGAATTCATCATTGAATATTTCTACCTTTCTTTTCTTTTGACTTTTTTTCAAAATTAGTGGGATGGTAGCTGCTACATGTTCCCCTGGGGAATTCACTGAGAATTTAATCAGAAGTTGATATATGTGCTTAAACTTGGTAATATGTTTTTTGCTTTTCGTTTGATTTAACAGATTACTCATATGGAAATGATCAAAGGCATTCAAGGGCATGGTTATCATGATGAGCTTGTGGTCCCCATAATAGAGAACACTGCCCATGAGCGGGAGCTTACAGAATCTCTCACTGAAGCTGTATGTTATTTTTATCCATTTAACTTTGTATTGTGATGACCATTCAAGTTGAACTATGAATTTTGCATGTTTTGGAAAATAAAAATGACTTTTGACCGTTGTCTAGGTCCCAATGACAAAATATGAAGAGAAAGGGCCTGAAATGAAATTGTGTTACTAAATGTATGTAAATCTATATTCTTTCTCTTCTGTACACAACCACAGGGCAATCCCTTTTTTTTTTCCTACAAGTGCAGATAATTTTTAGATTAAACTATGTTTTTTATTGAGGTGATGTGTGCTAATGTAGTATGAGTGTCTTCTGTTACATAATACAATAAAATGGTACAATGACGACGTCTTTTTGAAATTAAGTATTATGAAGCTTCATTGCTTGGTGTAGTTTATGAGAGGATGACAACTTTCTAAAGTTTAACTATCTGGAGATTTCGATGGTATAAAACCCAAATTCAAACCCCTCACTCATTACCGCCCTTGCTTTGCTAACCTACTTTTAAGGAAAAGTTCTGTGAATTTCCTTCAGTTGCATACAAATGCAAGAACTAATGTATATATGGACTGCTTAAACAATCTCGGTCTTGAAACTTCTGCGTCTATGGTTCTTTGATGAAACACATTTTGGTTCATTTGTTGCGAATTTTGATAACTGCTGCTAAAATCAGTCCTTTAGTGTTCATATGCAGGAGAGATTACAGAAAGTCAGCATTCATCTCTATCCATTTGCATTAATATTTTTTGGTAGTGTGTTAAGTGTAACCATTGCTTCAGACTGATTGACATTCTCCTTCTTTTGTAGATTGAAGCTTACCCGAAAACAACAGCTGTGCTAGTAAGGAACCATGGCATATACATATGGGGGGATTCTTGGATCAATGCTAAAACTCAGGTTTGTGTTATCTGGGGAACAGTAGAACAGTTTTGACTATTGGGGAGAATTTTTATTTATAGACCCTATGTTTCGTTGAAGCATTTAAACTAGGAATATCGGTCTAATATTACGGTGATGGGATTATATGTGGTGCTTTTGAACGATTTCTCTTCTTGCAAGTCTTTGAAACAGGGTATCAACTTAATTTGTGATTCTAGTCTAGAATTATATTTGTGTTCTAACAATGCAGAGTGCTTATAGATTTATGTGTGTGTGGAGACTAATATAGAATTAGATACCAAAACTTCTGGTTGTGCATCTGGAAGATGGCCTTTATGGAGCTTATTATTGTTTGATTTTGGCTGAAAAAGGTTGCGAAAGTTATGGGGCTTCTGGGCCAGTAATAAGATAAGAGTGAACGAAGTCCATGGGCTATTCTAGGACAGTGAAAAGTAACAGTGAGGTAGACTTGGCTGTTTTTCTGTTTTTGGGCAACGAAAATTGAGTATTTGATTGTACAAAAATTTTGGCTGGCTAGAATCTTGAACCATTTTGGCAGCATTGTCATAGAATACAGAAATGGGGCTCTTCAGTCTTTACAATTAAACTATTGATGAATGACTATCCGAGGTTATCAAACTTTTTGATTGTGTTCTTTGTTGAGATAGATGGTATTGTTATTATCCTAATTATATTTTTGTAGAGAAAACTTTCTGTTTATATGGTGCAAGTCCAAAATATATTTGTTGGTTTGGTATTTGAAAAAATAATAAAGTCAGATAACATAATTTAGGATGATTGATTACTTTTATGACTTGTCTCTGCCTCAATTTGAGTATTTTGTGGGCAGATTGTCTCTTCTGGAAAAAAATGATACGCGGCATACGCCCCATTCTCTATATCCCTGAGTTTCAGTATTATATCTGCCATGTTTTTATTTGGTAGTTATTTCTGTCGTTGGTAGCAGCTTCAAGATGAAGGTACCTGCCATGTCTTTTTTGAGTTTATCTAATATTGTTTTTTTTTTTTTTTGATAAAGTTTATCTAATATTGTTACTTACATAGTATTTAAGCTAAAACAAAAGTGGAAATAGGGAGAGAGCACTTCGAGGGGGGAGATGAACCTCCTTAAGAGCCAAGCCCTTTTCAAATTGTTTTTCCTCCCTTTCATTTTTATTCAAAATAAAGTATTTATGCATGCTTTGAGACAGTTATACAATCCCATGTACTCATAAAGTCATGGTACTCATTCTACACTTTTAAAACTACGTCATAGGTATATGACTACCTACAATACAATGACAACATAAGTAGGACTTTAGAATTTAGATAGATATACCAACTACAATTACTGAAGACCCATAAGTACATATCATATATGCTCTCTCTCCAGTTGACAATTTATTCTTTCAGGCTGAATGTTATCACTACCTCTTTGATGCCGCCATTAAACTTCATCAATTGGGCCTGGACTGTTCTTCTCCGAGTCATGGTCCCAATCATAGTTTTAGAGGAGTTGGCGGTGGTGATTGGAATGTAAACCTCTCCGCAAAGGCTCGAAATCTTATTGCAAATCATGATACTGAACCAGCACGGGTAAGTTCTTCAAGTATTATATTTTCCTATAATTCTCAAGGACCAGAGCTTTGAATTCTGATAGTTTTTCTTTTATTGAAATTCTCTGCAGCGTTGCATTGTTCTGGATATCGAGGGGACCACTACTCCTATATCTTCTGTAACTGATGTTCTCTATCCATACGCTCGTGATAATGTAGGGAGACATATATATGCTACATATGCCACTGCAGAAACTCAAGATGACATTAAGCTGTTGCGCTCTCAAGTAAGCTTTGTTTAGCAAACTGCTTCTGAAAGAGTCTACTTCCATTTATGCGAAAATTGTACATGGCAAAAAAAAAAACTACCACCTTCTTCATCATTAAATTTCAAATGGTAATTTCGCCTTCACATTGTTACTTGGACACAAGGAAGCTTAAATTGTAGACATAGTATATCTACACAGACAACCACAGAAACACTTGTTGCTTTGAGTCTCGTCAAGAAACGTAACAATCATGTCAATCAAGACCAATTGATGAGGACTAAGTGGAAGCTTGGGGGACTGCTGTGCCATCTCCCGATTGTTTAATTGGTTAGATTGCCAGTTAATTAGAGACAGGCAAGAAATCAATGCAACAGTCCATTGAATGCTTTGAAGACGTTATTTTGTATAGATGATAAAAGAGAAACAAACAGGGAAGGTATGCCAGACTTCCCAGGTACCTTTGAAATGTGTTGGTCCTTGTACTACCAGATACTAGTTCAGAAGGATTATGTTTAACATCCTTGCCATTCTTTTATATGGCCTCTGCAGTTTTCAATTTACACTACTGTATTCACCAATTTTCCAAGAATCCCAACAGCTATCATAAGAAACCAATACCCATGGCCATGGAATAGCATATTGCGTACCAGACTTGTTATCACACATAGCAACAAATATAAGTTAAAAATGTACATGAAAGCACAAGGGTGGTTCATGGTGCTCTACCTGTTTTGGTTAGAGAGTCCGTAGTGTTTCCCTTATGTTTGAACTGGAGCTGAACTTACTCCTTGAAACTGAAAAACTGAATTTACCATTGTGTTCTTATTGCAGGTACAGAGTGACTTAGAACAAGGAATTTTTGGTGCTGTGCCCATTCCGTCTGATGATGCAGGGAAAGAGGAGGTGATTGCAGCTTTGGTAGCTAATGTGGAAGCAATGATAAAGGCTGACAGAAAAGTTACTGCCTTGAAACAATTACAAGTAAGGAAAACGGAAGAAGAAAATGCTCTCTTCAAGTTCCTTAAAATCTGGCTAAATTTTTGTTTTCAGGGTCATATATGGAGAGCCGGATTTCAGAATAACAAATTAATGGGTGTAGTTTTTGATGACATACCTGAAGCTCTTGAGAAGTGGCATGCTTTGGGCATAAAGGTTACTTTTACATCTTACCTTCAATTTGATGCTTTTGGCCTTAAAATCTTGTTATTTAGTCCATGCATTATTGTTTCTCGTGCATCTATTCCATCATAGTTTATGGTGATGAGCTGAGAGGGTGCATGATGTAAGATTNTCACATTGTTACTTGGACACAAGGAAGCTTAAATTGTAGACATAGTATATCTACACAGACAACCACAGAAACACTTGTTGCTTTGAGTCTCGTCAAGAAACGTAACAATCATGTCAATCAAGACCAATTGATGAGGACTAAGTGGAAGCTTGGGGGACTGCTGTGCCATCTCCCGATTGTTTAATTGGTTAGATTGCCAGTTAATTAGAGACAGGCAAGAAATCAATGCAACAGTCCATTGAATGCTTTGAAGACGTTATTTTGTATAGATGATAAAAGAGAAACAAACAGGGAAGGTATGCCAGACTTCCCAGGTACCTTTGAAATGTGTTGGTCCTTGTACTACCAGATACTAGTTCAGAAGGATTATGTTTAACATCCTTGCCATTCTTTTATATGGCCTCTGCAGTTTTCAATTTACACTACTGTATTCACCAATTTTCCAAGAATCCCAACAGCTATCATAAGAAACCAATACCCATGGCCATGGAATAGCATATTGCGTACCAGACTTGTTATCACACATAGCAACAAATATAAGTTAAAAATGTACATGAAAGCACAAGGGTGGTTCATGGTGCTCTACCTGTTTTGGTTAGAGAGTCCGTAGTGTTTCCCTTATGTTTGAACTGGAGCTGAACTTACTCCTTGAAACTGAAAAACTGAATTTACCATTGTGTTCTTATTGCAGGTACAGAGTGACTTAGAACAAGGAATTTTTGGTGCTGTGCCCATTCCGTCTGATGATGCAGGGAAAGAGGAGGTGATTGCAGCTTTGGTAGCTAATGTGGAAGCAATGATAAAGGCTGACAGAAAAGTTACTGCCTTGAAACAATTACAAGTAAGGAAAACGGAAGAAGAAAATGCTCTCTTCAAGTTCCTTAAAATCTGGCTAAATTTTTGTTTTCAGGGTCATATATGGAGAGCCGGATTTCAGAATAACAAATTAATGGGTGTAGTTTTTGATGACATACCTGAAGCTCTTGAGAAGTGGCATGCTTTGGGCATAAAGGTTACTTTTACATCTTACCTTCAATTTGATGCTTTTGGCCTTAAAATCTTGTTATTTAGTCCATGCATTATTGTTTCTCGTGCATCTATTCCATCATAGTTTATGGTGATGAGCTGAGAGGGTGCATGATGTAAGATTCAGTTTGCCCTTCTGTATCTTCCTTCCGAACACTCTGTAATATATGTGGGACCTACATTGGTATATTATTATCCAAGCAAAATGACATGTGAAAGGCATATTTTTTGTCCCATCCGGGTTTTTAACTTGCTGATTTGTTCGAGTCTAACAAGACTTGTACAATAGTGCTTCTTTGCAATCAATGAGTTGCATTCCCTTGCAAAAGTAGAGGTGGAATGAGGGGCCAGTGGTTAAAAGTCTGAAAACTTGGCTATCAAGAAGTGAAAATAGGCCCATTACCTTTCCACCAATGTTCTTAGTTTTCCATCTCTTCTTTCTGTTATACGTGTCATTAGAATTGGGCAATGCTTTCAGGATTTGGTGAAATTCCTGATAGTAAATTTAAATAAATTCCTTTTATCTGTTTTTTATCCCTCAGGTGTACATATATTCTAGCGGCAGCAGGTTGGCACAAAGGCTTTTTTTTGGCAATACAAAGTTTGGAGACCTGAGAAAGTACATGTTTGGGTTTTTTGATACAACAGTGGGGTAAGCTCTACAGTGTCGATAAATACATTTCTGCGCTTTGTAAAGCTGCTCTGATACCATTTGATCCTAGGCAAACTGTCTTTTTATTGGCTGCAGGCACAAGAGAGAATCAAGAAGTTACGTAGAGATTTCACAGTATGTGGGAGCGGACAACCCATCAGAGATTTTATTTGTAACCGATGTCTTTGAAGAAGCCGTAGCTGCCAAGGCAGCAGGTAATGTGCCGCTTATGGTTTCTGTTTCCAATATGTGCTGTTTGAGAAACAGTAAGCTTTTGCCAGCCATGAGTGCTTATACAAATAGCTGAAACTGTGTTCGGTGAAAATATGCAGCATAGGCAGAGCTCCTCCTAAACAACCCACCTCCTCCCCCCCAACACAAAAAAAAAAAGCCCAAAAAAACCCTTTTATCCCCACTTTTTTTTGTCCAAATTTACCTTTTTCGTCATCTAACATGCCCATACACAGGCATCAAACGCAGACTCGGAGAGCCTTTGGCCACCGTTCAAATGATCTTTACCATTGATAATGAATCCTGATGTGTGTTTCAGGTTGGGAGGTGATGATTTCTATCCGGCCAGGAAACGGACCTCTTCCAGATAATCATGGGTTTAAGACAATCCAGTCTTTTTCAGAAATCTAAGGCAGGATCAGGATGAATTCTTCTGTAACCTTATCAAACGTGACACAGGTGTAATATGTTAAGTCACCATATAATAATTAAACAAGTTTTGTTATACTTTGAAGCAAACTTGTTGGTTATTTTGATTTCTATTGCTGCCCTTTCCCTTCCCTTCCCTTCCCTTCGGCTTGGGTCCAGAGCTCAGGACTTCTGCTATGGAGTTTGTTTATGAGGCTAATGTTTGATTACCTACACAGGTTATAAAATCAAACTCTCGCTGCAAGTATTATCATATTAATAGCTTTATCCGATATAAAATTGTATGTATTTGATCATCTTTACATTTTATAGTGGTGGAAGTCTCGTATACTAGATGACCCATTATAGTATTCTATGAGATCTAGTGTCTTCATCATAATTCGATAAAAGATTAGGAGTAAAACTGCAATATCTATGGGTAATTTTTTACATATTACCTACCAAAGATGCTACAAATAAAATTAAGTCGTAAGAGATAATCTGAGAAGTTTATGACTAATGTGATTGTTTTGTGATTTTATTTAATAAATCAATTCTAGTATTTTAGGATCGATCTTCACGTTTTTTAGTCGTAACTTTACTCTATTAAATTGTAGTTGAGCTTCTTAAGGTATACGTTTATACCAAATGACTCAGTAGTAGTATTTAAATATCGGTAACCTTTAGTACACTTTCGTACCCCTACTTTGGACTGGTGTCTTTTAATTTTTGTTTTGTATTATTGGTCAAGGGTACGTGAGTCAGTGAACGCACATTTTGTTTAATTTTTTTTCTGATTCGATCAAAAACAAATTATCCACGTCGAAACTAATTTATTCATGAAGAATAAATTTGTTTTAATTTGATCCCAGAACTTCTAGATTTATATCTCGTATTTTTTTATCACTTAGAGTTATTTTTTACAGATTGAACATGAATGTTTTAGACAAACTTAGTTGAGAGAACATCAAAACCATGGGTAAAAGATATTGAAGGGGGAGAAACACCGATAGGTAATAAGTCTCATGAGGTGTGATTGTGAGAGTCTCGTAATATAGAATATTTGATAGTAACTCTTGTTTGGTGTGATTGTGACCGCGACCGTCACCACCACACCACCATTAATGAGAGATAGAAATGTATCTAAATGGATATAATTGACCACTAAACCGGGAACCCTAACGGTGGGTAAAAGATATTTGAGATGCAGCTATTGGCAATGAATTATCTAAGCAGATATTTTTAATCAGTGCACTTGACTACAGGGTGTGGTCACTCACACGCAGACCAGGTACACACTGCCTAAATCTTATTCTTACCTGGGAATGGATGGAGAGGAAATAAATGTCTTCTGTCATTTTCTATTTTCTCTGTTTTTAACTTTTTAAGTTAATCTAATCATTCCCTCGTTTACTTCCTTTTAAATCATCATCATCATCATCATCATGCGGGCCCCACTTTCTCTCTCCTTCCTTGTTTGTTGTGCTCTTACCTCACAACCTGTGGGGTCTACTACGAGTCAAAAAACACTCACAAACACATGCTTTAACTTGTTGAAGGTGAGTTAGCTAACACAACTAAGTTGTGTTATTAGGGAATTGAATATGTACCCAAATTTGGCCGATATATATATATTAGTCATTACACGTGCCTTTAATAAAAAATAAAAAATATATTTATATTTATATTCAAAATCAAATTACAAACATAAAAAAGAGATAAAAAAAATTTAAGCATCAATTTATAGTAGGGATAAGAGGTGGTGGCCAGCAAGAGACAGAGGTGACGGTGGCGGTGGCAGAGGCAAGACTGGTGGCCGTGGCTGCGACGACAATGGTGGGGGGTGGTGTTGACGGCGGCAATGGTGGTGGCGACGACAGTTGTGGTGAGGGTAGTGTTGACAGCAGCAATGGTGGTGGCGATGACAACGACGACAGTGGTAGGGGTGGTGTTGATGGCAGCAATGGTGGTGACGACGACGGTGGTGGTAGTGGCGACGATGGTGGTGACGGTGGTGGTGATAGTGGCGATGGTAGTAGGGGCAGTGGTGGTGGGTTTAATGGTGGTGGCGGCGGCGATGGTTGTGGTTGTGGTGGTGGTGATGGTGATAGTGATGGTGATGGTGACAATGATGGTGGTGGTGGTGGGAGTAGTTTTAAACATTACTTTTTTTCTTTTTTTTTTTAAATATTTATGAGAAATAATTTTAAAAAATCAATCTAAACACACCCTTAGGGGCCTACTTTTCTTATTAAATTTAAGGTGTTAATATTAGTTGTTAGATTAACTTTAAAATAAAATTTAAAACGATCTCAACCGCGAATAGCAAAAGTCATTTTGTTTATCTTTTGATATTTGAATTGTAAACTACTTTATTATATATATATATAATACTCAAAAAAAATTCGCTAATGTATTGATAAATTTTATTATTTTTGTAAGTATTTTTATCATTTTTTTTTGGTTCAACTGTCGGAGATGTTCAGATCAATTTACACGCAATTCAACTAATCTTTTCTGCTGTTTAGTTAAAAATAAGTCATCCACATGAGGACTAACTAGGATGTTCATGATAAATAAATTACTCATGACTTAATTTCAAAAGATTGACAAAATTTGAACTCAACATTTAAATTGTATAATTCGTTCATGTTATATCACTTAAACTATTCCTTGGGGTTATTTATCACTATTTTTATTATTGTGATAAAGACACGTATAGTTATAATAAAAACATTCATAAAAAAAATAAATGTCGGTACAGTTATAAATCCATTATTTAGAAGGGTCACTTTCTGTTTTCTCCTTCAGTTTCTTGCCAACTTCAATTTTTCCCAGTTTCTTTCACTTGAAGGAGTCTTCTACTCTCCCCTCCCTGGCTCCTTTAAGCAGGCAAAATTTCTGAGAATTTGTCAAGCCAAAATTAATATAAGATGGTCCTAGCATTGTCGGATCTTAATGATTTTTGGTTTCTAAATAACCCTAAGGGATTCTGAGTTTTTTTTTTTTTTTTTAGCATCCAATAAATCCGTCAAATAAATGTAATTTGCCCTCCAATATTCACCACATAACCACTAGGTAGCAAAAAAATCGTGTCTCTCGATTTTGAACATAACTCTCCTAAATTCAATAAGACATTAATACTGAATTCGAGTGTTAAAGCGATAAAATTGTTAAATTTAGCAAATAAATGAGTCAACAATAGTCTAAACAAACACAATATGACCCACCAAACATGATTTATACGGAACTTATATACAATACAAACTCGATTATATATGAAATAATTTAGACACGTTACAGTTCGTAACGCTTGCTGACCCATTGACAACCTTAGAAGTTAAATCACACAATTAAAGGAAACAGGATGGCATCGTATATGCTTCTTGCACGGTGTGTACTCTCTTGTGGCCCTCTCTCTGAATGCTCTATGCAGCATAAACTTCTTCACGCATCCTCTTCCTCCTCTAACAGAACAATCTCTCTCTCTCTCGGACACACGCATGCATCTGATGTGAAAGATTAATGATCGAAGCATCCAATCAATTTGCAATTACCTTTTGTTAGTGTTTATGCGCATATATGCTGTGAACTAAATTTTCCTCCCAATAGAACTAGTTTACCAATTGAGTTTTCGCATATATGGAGAGAACCTGAATTAGATGCTATCCACCACTACCTTCTTTCTTGTTTTCTTATTGTTTAATCTGCTGCATATATGCTCTGAAAATGATTTGGATCCCACCCCCATTACCATTTGTTTACTCTCTCTCTCTCTCACACACACACAAACACACAGATTATTCTTTTGGAAGTGACGAAGTAATACCTGGGTGACTTTTCGTTGCAAAACATTGACACTTGTGAAGTGACGGAAAGATGGTTTGGGGAGAGAGAAAGAGAGAGGGATAGAGACAGAAAAGGTAGCCTGAAGAATTTTCTATCACATTTGATATTTTCAGCGAAAGATGAAAAGCAAAAAATTACATAAAATAAAAAAGATAGGAAAACAGAAGAAAGAAAATAAGCGAAGATAATATTTCCTTAGGGAGGGGTAAAAGGGATGGAAGAGAGATCAAATTGTAGGAATTGAAGCAAGATCTGTACCACTCTCTCCAAACCATCCAACACCCATTACTCCTCCTTACAGCTACCTCACAATTACACCTCCACGCGCCACCATTTCTCAAGAAGACGACCCTGAAACTCGCGGCGATGTCACCGGAAACAGAGGCAAGAGCCTGGGCTCGGCGACTCCGGTCGTCGTGTTCGGTGATGGATGAAAGTAGAACTTCTTCTCAGCAATTGCTTTCTCTTCCTCCGACGAATTTCCCATCGAAGGTGAAGAAGATTTGTCAAATGGGTCTTCGATCAATGGCGTAACTGGGCTAAGAACAAGTGAGGGAAAATCAAGAATACTCGGCGACAAGATCTCTTGTTTACGCGGCGAAAACCCAGAATTTGGGGCAAAACCAGGCATCAAAGGGCTGATCATGAAGCCATTCTTGAGGCTGTTCCTTCGTTCATAGAGCTTGAAACCTTGTTTCTTCTGACCACCGGTCTTGATCGGAGGTATAGAACCTCTGGAAGGTGGTGGATCTGATGGGGTTGGTTTGGAGACTTGTTTAGCAGTTTCGGATGATCCAGTGAGCATCTGAACTACTTGCTTGAAGGTGGAGGTGTCTGCTTGGACAAAGGTGGTTGGGTATGGATTGGTTTCAGATCTAGTTATGGGTTTTGGGGTCAATGGTGGGGTTTGAATTTGGAGTGATCCATTGCTGTTGCTACTGCTTCCATTGCTGTTTGGGGAGTTTGTGGGAGATGGGTTTTCTCTCTCCTGAGGTCTTGATGTGATTTCCATTGATGGGTGTGAAATCTCCCCTCTTGTCGAGAGAGAGAGAGAGAGAGAGAGAGAGAGGAAACGCAAGAGAATGAGACAGATGCTAGAATTAAAAGAAGAGATTATGGCCCTTAATGTCTTTTTAACATGCTTTTTTTATGCCAATTTGCAGACTAGGCGCATGTATTTTATAGGACGGACGATTAAATTGGATGAATTGATATTAAAATTTT